ACTCAGACTGACACCTTATTTGGGTTTCCTGTAGAATGACGAAGACACAAAGACATGAAGAAAAGTCTTTGTTTGGGGAAACTTGATACTTTTCTGTTATTGCCCAAACAAACTCATCTGGACATATAAAAATTGACTTGGAAATTTTAAAATAAAAATTGCAAACCAAACAGGATGTAGCCTGGTTAGGGAGGAAATGATTCACTGGATTAACGTAATCAGACAGCTCTATTTGTCCAAGACTTAAACAATCACTAAGTTCTGTCTTCACCACTTAATGTGGCCACCCAGCTCTAGTCTGTTATAGGTAGAAAAGGAGAAACAAGGGTGGAAACAACACATATTTCCTGTGTGTGTGTGTATGTGCATGTGTGTGCATTTGCATGCATGCACACACATATACTTAATGCTTTTGCTGGCTAGCAACTTCTCTTACAACTGTGTGCTTCCAAATGATTTTTACATTTCAATGTGTTTTTGGCAGACGATAGATTTCCTTTCCATGAATAAAAGGTAGTGAGAGCAAAGGCACTAAGTATCAACCGTCTGAAAGTCAAAGGAATACTGTTAACAATCCCTTTCCTTTTCATTTTCCTGTAAAAGATAAGGTAGAAAGTGGCATGTGGCTAGAGGATTTACAGCCACATGATGGAGGACGGGAGAGCTGTCACCTGCTTTGCTACGCAGGGTGCCCAGCTTAACCCATCTTTCTTTGGCAACTGTGCCCCAATGAGAAAAGCTAGCAGTCCATATGTTGAGTAGGCACCATGCCATTTTGACAGGCGTGAGTGTCGGCAAGAAAGGGACCATGTATGAGCATCAAATGTGTTTGTTGTGGGAAGGATTCTAGGCCAGGAATATTAAAATAACTGTCTGTCCTTAGCTCTAGCACATATGGTTAAGGAGATAGGCTATGATGACTCACATTAACGTTGGAAAAAATATATATAGAATACGCAACCATGCTAAGTAAGTTTCTGATGTTGATAAATTGGGACTGGAATCTTCACAAAGAAAGGTTGTAGAAAAACATACATAGCAATAATAGACTCTCTTTTATGTATCAAATATAATTTACTAAAGACTAAATTCACATCCTATTATAGTTCTCCTGAACTGATGAACAAATTGAAGGATCCGATTAGATTTTTGCTGAGAGGTCCTCAGGTATTTCCTAACACTATTTGAAAAGTAAATGGGATAAAATGGGTTCATTTAATATTTCAATTCCAAAGAAATTAAATTAATGTTACCAATGTTAGTTCAACTATTTTCTGCTACAGGGACCATTTGTTTTAAAATCATTAAAGGATTTTAAATGACACTGTCCTGACATTTGGTGTGATTAAATTTAGGGAATTAGTATAAAGACATTTTGTCTCTCCTTAGCTTTCTAAGTGAATAGTACATCTTCCTAAGTAGTAAAAAGTAATTACTGACCTATTTCTATATTTATATTGACTTGCATATGTGTGTGTTGACTTTATAAACATTTAGGCATATAACTGCTTCAATTCACAATTGTCCCTTCAGAGATTCCAACAAGCTTGCTTAATTCCTTGGAAAGGCAGCATTGTATGGTGCTAAGGATACAGGATTTAGAGCTTAAGACATGTATGTGAGATTTGATAGTAGTCCATAAGGTGTTTAAACTTAAACCTATATGCACACATACACATTTCCCTCTCCAAACCCACACAAGCTTGGCATTTGTCATTTTTAAGTCTAGAAAGGCACATCTAGTTTATCTCTAGCTCTAGTAAGTTGGCCTCCTAGGGAAATGCCCTAGTAACAATCTAAATATGTAGCAGGGAGGCGTCTCATTAAGCAATGTGTTGTTTCTCAAGACTATTTTCTCAAAGATGAAGAACAACTTTTAACATACTTTATAATTTCTTATATATTATGTTTTTTTAATGTCTGCTTCCCCTGACTAGAATATAATACACAGGGAAGGATTTCTTGCCTGTTACTATTATTATTATTAATTTTTTTGAGACAAGGTCTTGCTCTGTCACCTAGGCAGGAGAGTGCAGTGGCGCTACTTCAGCTTACTGCAACCTCTGCCTCCCAGGCTCAAGTGATTCTTCCATCTCCACCTCATGAGTAGCTGGGATTACAGGTGCATACCACCAATCCAGCTAATTTCGTAATTTTTTTTTTTATAGAGATGGGGTTTTGCCATGTTTTCAGGCTGGTCTGGAACTACTGAGCTCCCGTGATCTGCTTCCCTTGGCCTTCCAAGGTGCTTGGATTATAGGCATGAGCCACTGCACCCAGTGCCTATTATATTGTCATGATTAACTACTTTTATTAACGTGTGCCAAAAACATGCCTCTAACAATGTCCTGCACATACTGGTATCTCAATAAATATTTTGTTTAGCAGATGAATAAATAAACTAGGCTTTTCTATGCTGATGGCTAAAAAGGCAGACATCTGGGTTATACTCAGTGGTGGTGCCAAGGGCAGTAGCCAACCCAATCTCCATCAGCTTCCTTCATTCCCAGATAAAAAAAAAAAAACCTTACTTTTAATATGGCTGATTTAATCACTTTTATATAAAGTGTGACTAAAAGTTTAGGAAACTTTTATATTGATATTGATCTGTAACACACACACCAAGTTAAAAAGAGTGTGCGTTCTTTACAAACATAGCCTCATGGCAAACCTCCCAGCTTCGTCTTCCAACCAGATGGCCTCCCCTAAGCCCTACCCTACATAGAATTCTCAAGATGAAGCTGGCCCTCCTCAGATCCAAATCAGAGTATCTATGGTAGGACCAGGATTCAGCACTTTCCACAAGCTGCAAGGTGAGTCTTATATAACACTAATGTTTGAGTATACACAGCCCCAGAGGTTCCTATTCTTACATGGATTCTTTACTCCTTGTTCTAATTCAAGGCTCTTATGACACTCACTGACTTTGCAAAGGTAGCTGCAAATCTTAGAGTTTTGTGATTGTCTGAAGTTAGATGAAAGTTAATTTCATTGTCCTTTTTGTGAGACTTGATGAATGAAGGAGAAATTACACCACGAGCTTGGACAGGGCAATAGCAATGAAACAGTATGTTACTTTGATTGCAGACTTCTTGTTCTGCAAAAACTACCGAACTAGTCCTGGAAAAACAAGGCACTAGCTTTTATTTATTTACTTTTTATTTACTCCTGAAATGCATATAGTCAGGGCCAACAGGCCTATACAGTGCCTTGATGCAAATGAGAGAAATCGCTTGCCCTAAGGGGACAGATTTGAAAAAAGTGTCCCCTACTGACAACACCAATTAGAAAAAGGCATCTGCATCTTAAGTTGTCTCAAGGATGGCTGAGAGAAGCCTGGCCTTCCAGCGACTCTGGTGCCCTCTTATCTGGAGCCTTAGGTGGAGTGCCACAGTCCAACTGCATGATTATATGAGGTGTAGTTCCTGATACTAGAAGTCAAAAGCTGGTCTCTGGTGATGGAGCAAGAATGAAAGAGAAAAGTAAGTCCTAAAGGGAACACCAGTGGTTTGTTAGGTCCAGAGATGAGCCCTTATCTTTGCTATACAAGAAACATCTTTGTTTTAAAAAGTGACCTTTGATAAAATGTAATAAATCTCTTGTTTGAAGGACAGAGAGTTGTGATTACTACTCTTAACTTTTGAGAAAACCATAAAGTCATTTACACGGTACTGAGGGTACTGAGGGGAGGGACAGACAAGCTCTCATAGTGGAAACAATGAATCCCTTGGCAACTGGACAAGAGGTTCTTGAGAAAATGCTTACCTTTGAGTGGAGAGCTTCTATGGCTATCTACAGATCTCCATCTCTACTACATACAGGCTACATGATTTGGGGCACGTCATGTCACCAATCTAAAATGGACATCTACTTCTTGGAAGTTGTGGAATGCTTTAACAAGGGCTTTATAAATTGAAGAGTATCAATGTTAGTGATTATTTTGGAAGAATATATTTTATCATGGTAGGGACTTTGACAAGTTTTCAATGCCTTTGACAGCCCATGTTATATTATACATTTCAAAGAAACAAATGTAGGCCTTTAAGTCTTTTTCTGCAATAACTGCCTTCCTGAGCAACTAATTCAAAAGTATTTGTGCAATACTGTCACAACATAGTAAATGTGGTTAAATGAGGGAAATTGCTGTCCCCTAAGGGGACAGACTCAAAAAAAGTGCCCCCAACTGGTAACTAGAAAAAGGTAACAGCAAATTATGTTGACACAGGGATGGCTGATAGGAGCCTGGCCTTTCAGCTATTCTGGAAGCAGTTATCACAAAGAATAGATAATGGGTTGGTGCAAAAGTGATTGCAGTTTTTGCCACTGAAAATCATGGCAAAATTTCCGATGGCAAAAACCACAATCACTTTTGCACAAAACGAATGAATCAGCCCCCTGACAAATTAACTTCAAAGATTATGGGAAGAATAAGGTTTTTTTGTTGTTTATTTGTTTGTTTGTTTTTGTTAGTCAGATATGACTCAATGGATCAAAAGGGAGTATGTAAAAAATATTTCAAATAATTTTTTGAATAGGTCCTCTGACTGGATGGGATTTTTGTGATTCTCAAAGTTTGGAGTTCATTAGTATGTATTAGAATCATCTGCAGTTTTGTTTGAACTATCATTCTTGAGCTCCATCCCAGAGGTTCTGATTTATGAAATCAGAGATGGACCCAGAAATTTTAATTTTAATAAGTACTTGATACAGATGGGTTGAAGACCACACTTTGAAAAATACTGGAGGTGATCTCTAAAGTGAATCTGAACTTCAACTTCCTTGAGTGATTTATTTACACTGAAAGTGTATTTTCTTTCTTTTTTTTTATTGTACTTTAGGTTCTGGTGTACATGTGCAGATTATGCAGGATTGTTGCATAGATACACACATGGCAATGTGGTTTGCTGCCTCCATCCCCATCATCTACATCTGGCATTTCTCCCCATGTTATCCCTCCCTGACCTCCCCACCCCCCCGCCGCTATCCCTCCCTTGCCCCCCTCAACAGACTCCAGTGTGTGATGCTCTCTTCCCTGTGTCCATGTGTTCTCATTGTTCAGCATCCACTTCTGAGTAAGAACATGTGGTGTTTGATTTTCTGTTCTTGTGTTAGTTTGCTGAGAATTATGGTTTCCAGATTCATCCATGTCCCTACAAAGGACACAAACTCATCATTTTTTATGGCCGCATAGTATTCCATGGTGTATATGTGCCACATTTTTCTTGTCCAGTCTATTGTCAATGGGCATTTGGGTTGGTTCCAGGTCTTTGCTATTGTAAACAGTGTCACTGTGAACATACGTGTGCATGTGTCTTTATAATAGAATGATTTATAATCCCTTGGATATATATATCCAGTAATGGGATTGCTGGGTCAAATGGATTTTTTTCTAGGTCCTTGAGGAAGTGCCACACTGTCTTCCACAATGGTTGAACCAATTTACACTCCCACCAACAGGGTAAAGGTGTTCCTATTTCTCCACATCCTCTCCAGCATCTGTTGTCTCCAGATTTTTTAATGATCACCATTCTAACTGGAGTGAGGTGGTATCTCAATGTGGTTTTGATTTGCATTTCTCTAATGGCCAGTGATGATGAGCATTTTTTCATATGCTTGTTGGCCTCATATATGTCTTCTTTTGAAAAGTGTCTGTTCATATCCTTTGTCCACTTTTGGATGGGCTTGTTTGTTTTCTTTCTTGTAAATCTGTTTTAGTTCTTTGTAGATTCTGGATATTAGCCCTTGGGCAGATGGGTAGATTGCAAAAAGGTTTTCCCATCCTGTTGGTTGCTGGTTCACTCTAATGATTGTTTCTTTTGCTGTACAGAAGCTCTGGAGTTGAATTAGGTCCCATTTGTCTATTTTGGCTTTTTTTGCCAATGCTTTTGGTGTTTTAGTCATGAAGTCTCTGTTGAGAGTGTTTTCCTGAATTCTGCTCAGGAATCTGAGTAAAGTGTTTCTCTCTCTCTCTCTCTCTCTCTTTTTTTTTTTTTTTTTTGTCATTTTCTGGTTTTTGTTATTGTTGTTGTTTTATACAGCATCTCACTCTGTTGTTCAGGCTGGAGTGGAGTGGCATGATCGTAGCTTACTGCAGCCTCAAACTTTGGTGAAGGGATCCTCTCATATTAGCCTTTCAAGTAGCTAGAATTATAGGCATGTACCACTATGCCTGGCTAATCTTTTTATTTTTATTAAAGACATGATCTCACTATGTTGCCCAGGCTGGTCTTGAACTCCTGGCCTCAAGTGATACTCCGACTTAACTGCTGGGATTATAGGCATCAGTCACTGCACCTGGCCCAAAGCATTTATTTTAATAACTCGTGTAGCTGTAGACAAAAAAAAAAATTGATGAAATCTGCTCTAGATTTTTTTTCATATGCTTTCAAATATGGTAAAAAACTTTGATGTTTAAATAACCATTCAATATCTTTGATACTATAACTAATTGTTTGCAAGTGGTACTGTCATGCCAAGAACTATTTGAGGCTTTTGAAAATATATACAAAAAGTAGAAATGTGTTATACTTACATGGAAACACTGCTGACAGTTTGTCTAAAGAAAAAAGAACAATTTAGCTTTGAGGTTCTTGTTACACAGCTTAAACTACTCTGATATAATCTGGGCTGTATGTAATTAAAATCACCTGAAAACTTTAGTTAATTACTTATCTCTAAGTACCATTCTAAACAAATGAAAAATGAACTTATGGGGATTCAGATGAGGTATAGATATTCTTTACAAGTTGTGCAGATAATCCTGTTCTACCAGGGCTGAGAATCATAATTAAACTAAAAGATAATAATTAATACAATTTCTGGTTTAATTATTTTTCTTTTTTTGGCACGTGATTAAGAAAATTTATCTGATTTCTGTTCTCAGTTAAATGGGAGAACAAAAGTATTAATTGCATTTGACAAATATTTTAAAATGTTATTTCTGACCTCATGGAACTTACTAATTGACAGAAATAAATATATTTGCCTTCGAGGACAAAAAGATAAAGCCACAATGCTGGCATATTGATTTAAATTGTAGGAAATATTCCTTCACTGGCTAAGGTTGAAACTAGTAGGATAATTTTGCAGAGGCTGTTTAGGCTCTCTTTAGATACTGTGTGTTATATCTGACCACAAGGAAGATAGTAGTAGCTGGGCCATAGCCATGGGCTCTGAGTGCTTTGGTTTCCTAAAGACAGAGTTAATAGAATGAGCCCATATATTGAATAATTTTAAATTCCACAAAGACTTATTAATGATATAGTATATGAACACTACAATTAATTAGTTAGAAGGATTTTGACTATAAGTAACTCTGTTAGTCCATTTTCATGCTGCTGATAAAGACATATTCAAAACTGGGTAATTTATACAGGAAAAAGAGTTTAATGGACTTACAGTTCCATGTGGCTGGTGTGACCTCACAATCATGGTGAAAGGCAAGGAGGAGCAAGTCTCATCTTACCTGGATGGCAGAAGGCAAAGAAAGAGAATGAGAGCCAAGCAAAACAGGTTTTCTCTTGTCTAACCATCAGATCTCATGAGACTCATTCACCATGAGAACAGTATGGGCTAAACCACCCCCACAATTCAATTATCTCCCACTGGATCCCTCCTACAACTTGTGGGAATTTCGGGAGTACAATTCAAGATGAGATTTGGGTGGGAACACAAAGTCAAACCATATCATTCCACCCTTGACCCCTCCCAAATCTCATGTCCTCACATTTTGAAACCAGTCATTCCTTCCCAACAGTTGCCCAAAATCTTAACTCATCTCACGATTAACTCAAAAGTTCACAGTCCAAATTCTTACCTGAGACAAGGCAAGTCCCTTTCTCCTATAACCCTGTAAAATAAAAAGCAAGCTGGTTACTTCCTAGATACAATGGGGGTACAAGTATTGGGTAAATACAGCCATTCCAAATGGGAGGAATTGGCTGAAAATACAAAGGGCCTACAGGTCTCATGCAAGTCTGAAATCCAGAAGGGGAGTCAATTCTTAAAGCTCCAGAATGATCTCCTTTGATTCCATGTCTCACATCCAGGTCATGCTGATGCAAGAGGTAGTTTCCCATAGTCTTAGACAGCTCTACTCCTGTGTATTTTCAGGGTACAGCCTCCCTCCCAGCTGCTTTTATGGGCTGCCATTGAGTGGGGGGACAGAACCAAATCACATCGGTAACAAAAAACACTGGTGATAATATTGTGGTTTACTATCCCACAAAACTAATGACCAAGATGTTTGGTGAGTTTTGATTCAATAATGTCACGCAAAATCTCTGTTATTTCTGACCTTCTCCTCTTCTATCTTAAGGGTTGGCCTTATCCTGAGTCTGGTTCTTCTTGTATTTGCAAGGGGGAAGTAGTTCCTCATGTCAATTGACCCTGAGGGTCTTCTTGTTCTCAGCTTACAAAAGCCAGAGATAAACGGTTTATGTCAAGCACAAAATACAAATCTTTCCTTTTAGTCAGGTCACATTCCTGTCCCTAAACCTGCAGGGGACACCTGGAGAGGACCATTGTGGATGAACCAGTACCCAACTCTGACACTGGGGATGAACTCAACTTCCCTATTACGATAGGAAGGGGTGGGAAGCTGAGCAAAATTGAGGTTCTGGTAGAAAGAAAAGAAAGACAATGGAAACTGACTAGTCTACCCAAAGTTTTCAGAATGATAACCTTATTTGGATTTCTAAGTGAATGAGACATTTTTATCTGCCTTCATAAACAGAATCTATGCTTTTTTGTGAACGCCTGTGTTTTTCTAAATAGAACTAATTATTTATAAGTGGTACCAAATAATTCTTAACTAATTACAAATTACTCATATTAAGTGATTCGATTTATATGAAGTTAAGAGATGTAAGTCACATAAATGCATATAAAGAAGAGACATTTATCTAACTTCCAGAGAGTATCATGCAGTGTTCAGAGCAAATCTGGATTTTTCCTTCCAAGTTTAAAAAAGAAACATTTACCTTAAATTACTTAGGGTGGTCTTTTGCAGTAAGAACAGAGTATGTTTCCTCTTTGATAAAATGCTTTTCACAATCCCAAGACCTTTGCTGCTTGGAACAAACTCAAATACTAATTTAAATATAGCATACTTTTTGATTTATTGTAATGGTAAAGAGTTCAGATGCCATAGGCAGGAAGCCTTTGTTTAAATCCTTCCCAGTGTCCCCAGAGCTTCTTATTATTTGTGTCATCTTGGGATGGATAATAAGCCACACCGGTCCTCAGTTTTCTTATGCATAAAGTGGAGTTAATAATAGAATCTCCTTAATAGGATTGTTTTCATGATTAAAAGTGTTAGAACAACACCTGTGCCTATATTTTAATGAGGGCTCAATAAATATAAGCTAATAGTATGTTTCCTTAATAATCTTTATAGGTTTATTATTACAGTGATTCTGAAAATCATACTAATATAGACATCATTTTTTTAGGCCCTTACTATGTGCTAGGAACTATGCAATTATAAACTGCATATATTAAAAGAATATTATCACCATTTCACAAATGGATGTTCAGAGAATTGGAGTAACATCTTCTAGTTCCCACACCTAGAAGACTGTTGAGCCAAGATTTTAACTCATAACTTTCTATCTCTAAAGGCCTCCACTCTTGCCCTGTTTCATAAAGTAAAATCACTTTCCTGACATTTTATAGCCTTGTGACAGGGTTTTACGGACTTTTAAGGAATCTAAGCTCCATTTAATTTTTCTCCAAAGTATTTACAACAGTTTTAAATGAAGTAATAGGAAGTAGAGCTAGAGGTCAAATTTTGCAGATTTGGCAGTACAGACCAAATCTGGCCTACAGATGTGTTTGTTTGGCTTATACAATGTTTATAATTGTCTGAATTAATTACCAATGTTTAAAAGTGAGAGACTTCACATAAGAATAAAGTTTTATGGCTTCTGTTGAATTCTGAAAGTTTTGGCAATTCTGGTTCCATGTGCTTCCTTAAAAATCATTGAAATTTAGCTAAGTAAGGGGCTGTACCCTTTTAGACTGGACCAAGGCTCTGGCTTGATCATTCCCATTTATTTCAGTTGCCAGCCTCTTCCTGTAGACTGCAGTTTGTTTTGTGATCTTGCGGTAGGTGGTGAAAGTGATTTTTAAAATATGGTTTATTTTTCTTGGAGGAAAATGAAATGATAACATTAACCTTTCACTTACTTTTCCTGGTGTAGACTTAAATATACTGTTGTCAGCAAAAGTCTATTTCCCCATTTTGACACCGGAGCTGAAATGCTCTTTAGAAATGTGAATCTCAGAAAAGATTTTCAAAAAGGGACACCGTCATGTTTTCTGCTTGCCTAATAGAGGGCTTTCTGATTCGGGATTGAGCAAGGATAAACAACCAGGCTTAGAAGCCTGTCCCTAAAACAGCACATTTCTTTGACGTCAGATCAGGTTTTCAAGCCATTAGGTCCTTCGTTCAGTGAGTATTTAAGATTTTAACACATGAATCATTCATAGAGTGAAGGAAAGAGCCTGCGGAATGTCTTCCTCTGTGGCAGGCGTATGGATGAGATATGGTATTGGAGGGTGTCCAAAACTCAGCTTTCCAGAGAGCTTGGCAAGAATACGGAGAGAGGGATTAAGAAGTAGGAGGTTGTTTTAAAGCTTAAAGCATCTGTGCCAGTGGGACAAAAACACCACTACCTTTACGTTTTCTGCCCTTAAACTAAGGAAGTTCTGTGGTTGTTTATTCTAGAAACATAGGTGTGCCTCCTTTTAGAGAAAATAAAAATGCAAAATTCTACATTTACAAAAAAAGAGAGATTGGGAATTTATGTCACAGAGTACTGTCCTTTATAGAATGATCTTCTACATTTTTTTTCCCCAGAAAATAGCCTTCCCTAGGACATTTATGGTATAGCTCTGGTTATAAAGAATTATAAGCAGATGAGAAACCTAGAGTTTGAGAAGTTGTCAAGTGTTCACAGCAATCTTGTGAGACCCGGGTTGCACTGGTCCTGGTTTCCTGGGTTTATCTGATCCTAGAGTACAGACTCAACACCATGCGGTGTGCCTCTCACGCAGCAATGCCTCCAACTGCTAGTGCACCTTGTTTTAGCAAAATCATGCCACAAAAACCACAGACCTGTAGCTAAAACTTTGCATCCAGGTTCACTAGAAACTAAGTGTCCTTTCTATATGTTAAAGATCTTTTATTTAGAAGCAAAGGAAGAAGGTACTTGAGAGTTATTAATAGCAGCATTTTGGCACCTTTGTTAACTGAATCCTGGGGAGGTAGCTAAAATGAATAGCAGATGTGGAAAGGATAGTAACAACAAGGCAAGTGGAAAAATCCACAATACCTTTCAAGCATTTTCCAGTAGACTGAACTTTTGTACATTCTTTGTTGTTTTAAATGGGCTCACTTTGCTTAGGTATTTTATTCATAATGAGAAAAGTCACATTCATGCCAATGTATATGTGTGTTTTAAAATCCAATAAAATAAGGCAAAAAAATGTACAGTAAAATTTCACATGTAATAGGCTTTTGGCTTAAATTTGCCACTGTAGTATCTTCTTTGAAGATCTTACCTGAAGAGAAAAACATCCTGATAATATGTAGTTACTTTTAGTCATATAACCTATTCAATTGCTTCAGAAGTTTGAGGCAGCATAGGTTTACATAAATCCTTAATAAAATTATGATTTGGTAGATAAAAGATACCTGGGTTGTTTATTTTTCAATTAAAAACAATATTCTTAATACTTTAAAAAAAACTTAATTTGGTGAAGAAGTGGGTTAATGACTACTAATTCTTTTAGATATGGCCACAAAATGGTGAGCACTCATGTCTGAGGAGTAGGAGGTGAAGAAAGAATCAAATGCATGAGGTGATGATGAATAATTCTCCATGAGCAACCAGAAGTAATCATTTCTAGAACCATATTTAAAGTCCTGCATTATCTTTGTCAAAGATCCAACCATGGGCAGACAACAATTGAGTATGTTTAAATTTTGCTTTTTGACTCATGGAAATAAACAGTCAGCACCTCAATTCAAGAACAGAGGCTCTCCAGCAAAACCAACAGCTCAACAGGAAGAGGTTTACATATCTATTTATTCATTGGGCTGAAAATAAAAAGACTCTTACAATAAAGAAATCAGGTAAAGTTTATCAGCAAATGATAAATATGGAATATTTAAAAGTTTCAATCAAGAAAAACATTGCAAATAGATGGGACTTGAGTTTGTAATATATTACTAAGTAAAATCAATTAGCCTATTGATCAGCACAGATAACAGGATTTATCCCTTTGTTAGCAAGGCTATTACACATGTAAACTTACATTAACTGTGCACTTAGGCATGTTTCCTTTATGAGGCATGAATGGTCCCAGTTTATCCAGCTGTCCTGAACCCATGCCCTTTCGTTGTATGCTTCACTGCCTCTGAGATTGCCCATGTGACTTGCTTAGACCAATGGTTGGTAGTAAATTTGAGATAAGTGGAGTCTTGAAATAGCACTTGGAGGTTTCTCTTTCCTTTTTTTCTCCTCAGTTTTGCCATGTGAACATACTTAAGCTCACCTGCTGAGTGATGAGAGACACATGGTCTAGTCACTTCTGTAACTATAGCCATCAGATATGTGAGTGAACCCACTTAAGATCAGCCCAGCAGACTTGAACTTGATTTGCTGACTTGAAGGCTTGTAGGCATAGTAAAAGCTAACTATATAAGACATTAAATTTTGTGTAGTTTTATCATGCAGCATTTATATGCAGTAGAGAGAAGTATGTTTACTGGGGCAAAGAATAAAGACATTTATAATAAAAATATCAAAAAAGAGATGAAAATGTGTTATTGCAATTGATACATATGAAAATTTTTTTAAAGTTTCAATCATGGAATACATAGTAATTAGATGGCATCTGAATTCTAGTTATTGTTAAAAGAAAATATATAATTAGTTGACCAGCATAGATCCATCAATTTTTTTTTCTCTAATTAGATATGTTGTCACACATATAAAATTGCCTGACTTGGGTACATATGCATGTTTTCTCTGATTGCCTTATAAATGTGGCATGAATGTGCTTATATAGTTAATGCTGTTCTTTTTGTGTATCTTTCTTCATTTTATGCTAGAGTTCTCAGCAATTGGATTGATGTCAAAATTGGAACATTTTCAAAATACTTGGGATAAAATCAAGGGGAGAGCAAGGTGAAAAAAATCTGTAGAGGTAAAATGAGGAAAAAGGTTTTGCATCAGAATATGTCTATCAGAGAACTGTTGTGGTATGGATCTACCCAGATGGGCAAGTATCAGTCCTATTGAAATAGCAG